AAATGTTATCAAGGATAGTTAAACGCAAATAAGAATTTTTGTCTGTTTGAAAAGTTTTAGCACTGTTTAGTGAAGTATATTCTAGTGTGTATTATAGCGAGGGTCGACCGTAGGATTTAATACATAGAAAGCTAAACCCACGTCAACATACTGTAAGTTATGTAACATAAGCAAAGTGTGAAACACGATAACATATAACGTGACAATTATATGGGTGGAGTTCAATAAATAATATTTCACACATGTTTTATCAATGCAATCACAAACTTGCAACATAAACTCCCTTACCCCTATCATAGACTCTATGAACATCTCATACATTGACAGCTCAATAAAATACGTTCACTACATGACTACAGCCAGTATTTATGAATCAAACATATTTCAGGTAATCATAAAAAACGTGCCCATAATTTGCACCATTTATAGCCCCCTATTAGGCTAATCACACGCAAAACTTACACACAATAAGCGCACGTTATTTACATTTGTTTACCTGTGATCACGTAATATGGCTACTGATATGTCATAACAACAACAACAACACAGAGACATACCGTTCCCCTCATATGCGCGCAAACACACCGATTGCACGACTGTCCACATCACCGATCGCCGCCACCTCAAGACATCGCACTCATCGCTGGCCAACGACACCAAAGCGGACGCCACGGCCTCAGCGGTCGCACCGGTTGCCGGCGCTGACGGCCACCACCTCTGGAGGGCTAACACTGTGTCGTCGCCCACCCCTCGCGCCCAACCCAACAGCAACTACACGCCCGGCCACACCTCCCCCGGCATCGCGATGGCCGTCAACGGGGGCGCCGGGAGTGCGTCGGACGCGGACAGCGATGACAGCGGCGGCCAATCGCCAGCACCGCCGTCGCCGCCATCGGTGGTGAAGCCCAGGGATCGCAGCGCTTCGTTACCTCACCTCTCGATGCACTCATCGGGAGGGCAGTCGTCGGACGAGCACTGGCCCGACGACCAGCACCACCACTACCACCACCAGCACCTGTACCACAGCCCGAACTGCGCGTACAACGGGTCGGCCGCCGCGCACTGTCGCCACTCGACACCCCTGTCCCGCACGACGTCCTTCCGCGTGGAGACGAAGTCGTACCGTATGTTCCGCGCCTCAGATCTAGTCAAAGGCGAACTGCTCGGCAAAGGCTTCTTCGGCGAGGTCTTCCTCGTGACGCACAGACTCAGCGCCGAGAAGATGGTCCTCAAGGAGTTGTATAGAGTGGAAGAGGAGGCGGAGAACAACTTCGTCAAAGAGGTGGCAGTGCTCCGGGCGCTCACCCATCCCAATGTCCTGCGCTTCATAGGCGTGCTCTACAGGGATAAGAAGCTCCATCTGCTCACGGAGTTCATCAGCGGCGGTACGCTCAAGGAGCTCATCCACGACCTCCAGAGGCCCCTGTCGTGGAGGTACCGGATGTCGGCCGCTAAAGACATCGCCTCCGGCATGAATTACTTGCATTCCATGAATATTATCCATCGGGATCTCAATTCGCAGAACTGTTTGGTGAAGGACGAGGGGACGGTAGTGGTGGCCGACTTCGGGTTGGCTAAGATTATTGCCACCAATAATAGGAGGTTTTCCGGTGGCGGCGCCGGTAGTGGCGGTAAGCGTAGGGATAGGCGCAAGAGGTATACCGTTGTGGGCAATCCCTATTGGATGGCACCCGAGATGATGAAAGGGAAGAAGTACGACGAAAAGGTGGACATCTTCTCGTTCGGCATTATCTTATGCGAAGTGAGTGCACCTCTTGTGGTCATGTTTTGGGGGGTTTTCGGTTCAAATGTATGGCATTTGATTAAGAGTTCGTGGATTGTATGGATCGCTAGGAATTCCTCAATAATTAGTACCGCATATGATATTAATTTATTGACAAGTGAAAAGTGTTGTCAATTTTGTTGTACACTATGAGTGCAGTTCACAATAGTTTTGAGTGAAAAATTTTGACCAAAAAGTTTCATATTATTTGCTAACCATTGAGACGTTTCTAATCAATCCATGAACTTATAGTCAAATAACAGATATTTTGGTTAAATAATAAGAATTTGAGCCAAAAATTGAAGAGTAAAAATGTGGAAATAATGGGCGATGTGTTTGATTGTGCAGATAATCGGTCGCGTGTTGGCTGACCCGGACTACTTGCCCCGCAATTCGGACTTTGGTCTCAACAAAATCGTGTTTAAAGAGAAGTTCTGTGAGTCGTGTCCGGAGTTCTTCTTTCGCATAGCATTCCTGTGCACCGAAGTGGACGCCGAAGACAGGTATGCCTATCGCCACTCAATGCCTGCACCACTAATCCCTGTCCACTCTCTCACTCGCATCCCAGGCCTCCGTTCGAGACGCTGGAGCGCTGGCTGGCGAACATAGCGCTGTATTTCCCGACATTACACACCATTCCCAAGGAGCTGATGAATGAGATCGTGTCGTTCCCCGACTATCAGTCGGCGCTGAGGGCCAATAGGCGCCGCCGACCGCATAGGACCCGTAGG